TTTCTCTTGAAAATATAAGATAAAATATCATTAATTATACTTTGTTTTCAGAATTTTTTGTTTTTTGTATTCTTTTATGTTATTTATTGATCATTTCACTGTTTTTAAGATATTGAAAAGTTTGAGTGATTTTTTTTAAGTTCTTAACCTCCTTTATACCATTTGAGTTCTTAAGATTTTGCAAAGGGAAATTGGTTAATTTATTTATTAGGATAATTAATATTTGTATTAAGGGATATTGCTTATTTCATTGTAATTTTTGTTATACGTAATAACTTTTTTTTTATGAAGTTGTTCTGAAGAGTAAAATTCTATGGAGTTTTTAAATTTAACGTTTGGTGTTCCCTTCAGCCATTTTTTCCGGTACATTTAAAAGCCAGACGAAGGCTGGCAGCGGAGGCTCATATTTCATACGTTGACAAAAATCGTCCGGCATTATATACAATGCCTAGGCATTCTTTTGAATGCCGGCGTTTCATACTTTGCCGATAATATATATAATTGTAAAATAGTAAAAGACGATGCTTCTTTTTTTTTTCTAAATTTGTATTTGATCTGGTGTTTAGTATTTGATTTGTTTTAAGTTACTGATTGCAATTATTGTTTATGTTGTTTCTTATTGCATTGTAATACAATGTTTATTATTGCATTGATGTTTTATTTGTAAGTTTGGCTTCCTGTTCAGGTCTTGTACTGCCCACGACGTGCAGTCCTTGGGAAGGGGGCAGTATTACGGATTTTGTATTTGTGTAGCTACACTGCTGGCCATTAAAATTGCAACACCAGAAAGGAATGATCTGACGAATGTCAAAATCACATGAAAGGAAGAAGTTGGCATATGCAAATGATTAGTATTTCAGCGCATTTAGACGACGCATGAGTGAGCAATGCGATCTGACGCACTGCACAAAAGAAAATTTGTGTAGTTGATTTATCATTCGGAAAGGGCGTTGTACGGGTTGGAGTTTGCTAAGAATATCGTGTTATGCCTCGAATAAGAAAAGAAAATGCTTACCAGCAAGTTTCGAAATTCGATAGAGGCAGGATCGTTGCCTATTGAAAGTGCAGATTATCGTTCCGTGATATCGCCGGTCGCACTAGTCGACATCCAACCACTGTCATGCGAATAAGGAATCGATGAATTGCTGAGAGTCATACGGAACGGCATGCAGGATTTCAACCCCCTCCCATCACTGAAGACAGAGAGGACAGCCATATTGTGAGGTCAGCCCTGCAAAACCACGTGCGACCACATCACGGACCATTAGTCAAGAAATGGGCATGTTTGCAGCAAGCTCCGTATCAGCTCGTAAGGTGCGTCGATGTTTGCAGCAGCGTGGACTATCACCAGGGTGACCATTACTTCGGCTTCTCTTGACAATGCAGCGTAAAAAGAGACGGCGACCCTGGTGCGCCAGAAGACAAAGCTGGGCACAGGAGTGGCACAATGACGCCCTTTCTACGTGCCGGTTCTGATGGCCATGTACATGTCTGGAGTGTACCAGTAGACCACACGTCGCCTGCTTGCGTTTGATATGGGCGTAGGGCATCTGCACCTGGTGTAATGGTTTGGGCGGCCATTGGGTACACGACACGCACATCTCTAGTTCGGATCGCAGGTAATTTGAACGCAGATGGGTACATTTCTGACATTTTACGTCCAGTGGTTATGCCCTATCTTCGATGCCTGACAAACGCTATGTTCCAACAAGATAATGCAAGACCACATGTTGCACGTCATATCCTAATCTTCCTCTATATACAGCATATTTGATTGCTGCTCTGTCCTGCGCAATCTCCAGATCTGTCACCCATTAAAAGCATCTGGTCACGGGTTGCAGAGACACTGGTCCGCCACCCCTCTCCAGCTAATACGGTTGATGAAGTGTGGCATAGACTTGAAGCAGCATGGAATAAGTTCCTAATTTCTTAATTTCTGTCATCCAAGCACAGTTTAACTCCATGCCGAATGGTGTAAGGGCCGTTTTAGTTGCCAGAGGTCGCAGCTGTTTCTACTAATTTCGCACCCCTGCAAACCTCAAAAATGCTTACAAATTTAATCATTTTGTTTTCATGCCATACTGTTAACATGCAACAAATATCTTTCTTTGAATTTGCTTTCCTTCATAGTGTTGCAATTTTAATGGCCAGCAATGTATTTTAATAGAATTTTGATTAAAATTGTTTTATTTTCCCGTGAAAATGCAGCGCGTGACGAGTTTTAAGAGAAAGCTACGCCAAAAAACTAAAAATACAGGAGCACGCGCATTTAACATTTAATAACTAGACATCTCCTAATTGTACTCTTTTGCTTTTAAGAAGCCTCGAGAAAATGGAAATTACAAGAAGCTTCTCGTGACTGATTAAAATGCTTTAAAAAGCCGGACAGAAACATCTCACTTCAGTTGTTTTACCATGTTGTTTCCTAGCTGCTGTGATTTTTGAGATCGGATTAGCTTTTCCTGCTCCTTGAATTGTGTTTTATTTAACGTTTTAGTAGCTTGAAATATAACTACTGTGTGATATTGTATCAATATCTGTGAGGAAAAAAATTGCATTTTGTTTTATTTCTTGTTATTTCTGTTCAACAAGTTATTGAACAATAGCAATGGAGGTGGGACACAGCTACAACGGGCAGAAGAATCTATGAAATCTTTCCGATAGTTGCGGAAGTACTTAAGAGTCTGTAACGGTGAGTTAACTGACTTACTCACTGGACACGACTCTTTCGAATCTTACTTGCACCGATTTCACCTTTGTGAAACAGAAGTTCGCAGTTGCGGAGAAGTGGGTGACCCTGACCACTTCGTCTTTCTTGCCCTGAAACCATTCACTTACACAAACTAAAGACCGTCTTTGTCCAGCTCATCAGAGTACCAATTAGACAGTTGTAGAGACATTAGGTATTTTTGGAAGCAAGGCAAAATGAAAGATTAGCAACGCCTTCTCCGGGAATCGAAGCGCGGACCTACGGAATACGCGCCCAGCGTTCAGACCACCACACGACGAAGGCATGCCAAGAAGGCGGGAGAAATATCTTGTAGAGTTACCAAATACAAACAAAGTATATATATGCAAGTTCCCCCCCCAGGGGTTGACTCAGGAGAATTCCTGGGAAGTACTGGGCAGTCTCAACCACGGGCAGTACTTAGGCAGTCTCAACCCCGGGGGTAAATAATTCGTTTTCACAGGACTAGAGCCCGAGATTATTCTCAGTTTGGTTCAGGCTTTGTACGGACCGTACTCGTACTGTCATGTCGGTTCCTCTGTGTGTGGTGGAGCTAGATTGGAGATCACCGACCTAGTCGATGGGGGTTTGGCTTCCATAGTCTCAGTGACGGGGACTGACAGAGTGGACTAGGAACCAAGCGATTTTCGATGCCAAAGGTGTGGTGCCATGAGGCAATTCGTAACTTAATTTTGTCTGAGCGTTTCAATTTGGCAAACTTGTCCAAGGCTTTCTATAAAGCCGGGCTCCAACTGCGGGGTCTGCGCCGCCGTTGAAGAGGTCTCTGAGGTTTGGATAATTTCAAACACCGTTTGATAGACTCTACTGTGATCATTCCTCAGATCGGGGATCCAGGCTTTAGCGCTAATATATGCAAGTAGGACCTCTTAAGAACTCTGTTTACTAGTGGTGAGAGGGAATGTCTCAACACCCTATGTAGCATAGGCAGAAGGACTAACCTTTATGTCCTAACTTTGCCTATGTCCTCAGGGTTACATAACATCCTCAGGGTCTAATTACTAGTTTCTATTTAGCTGACAGCAATTGCATTGTCCAACACTAATTTGTATAATCAGTCTGTGTTCCCATTTATACCCGATATAAATGCAAGAAGTTACTTGCACAGGTGTGGTTCAAAGGAACCCTCCTCATAGACAGTCAAAAGAGTAATGTCGATGGATGCTTACCCTTAGCTCACTATTAAGCTAAAACACTCTTCTGTTGCAATATAGTAGGCGTAACCAACTGCTCATATGTATTTGGAAAAAGGTCTGGTAATACTGAATTTGAAAGTTGTAACTAACATTTATCTGGAATTTTCTGTGCTTAAGCACCAGTAACTTAGCATCTGTATTAATGTGACTGTATGGAATCCATAATAAGAGATGCAATAATGTAGTATTTGTCATTTAATAGTAAATTTGTATAGTATTTGTCACGTATAAATAATGTAATAATATCAAGTATTTGCTCATATACTGACATTGACATTGAACTTACAGTTACATTGAAACTGAGACCAGTATCCTGGTCTCAGTTTCAATGTAACTGTAAAGTTTCTACAACAAAGTATCAGTTTGCATAATGCCATGCAAAATGTACTAATGTATACATAAGATATTAATGTATGTGAAAGATTTTGTATTTAGCTCAGTTTGTAGTGCCAATGTAATTGAAAGGGTCCCACAACAAAGTATCAATGTACATAATGTATGTGAAATATGTGTAATGTATGCATAAGGTATTAACGCATGTGAAAGGTCTTGCTTTTAGGAATATCATTGAACTGATAAAATAATATAAGTATTTTTGTACTGCTGATTGGCATTTGATTAAATTTTCATAATTAACTACTAATACAAATGTAACTGAATGAAAATCATGAATTATATTTAAATAATCGGAAATAATTGTAGATATATGTTTTAAGATTAAACTGAATTTTTAAATGGCAAAATTATAATAAAATAAGAAAAACTGCTGAAGGCAGGCAGTTGATTCATCGAAGAACATTTCTTAAAGAAACAGGTTAGTTGCAACGTGTAACATTAAATAAACCGAAACAAACAGAAAAAAAAAAAAAATAAAAATAAATAGCATGGCTTTACTGGAACCATATTAACGTAAAATTGTTGAAATAGGTTTTTTTAAATGGCATAGGGCATCCATAAACTTGGTACTGTTATGGAAGTCTCAAAAGAGAAGTATTTCAAGTAAATGAAGAATTAGAAAATATTGTCAAGTTATGGAATTCACAAAATAAAGGACACACTAATGTTTTTAGAAAAGATTTAATAACGTTAAGATTTTGAGATGAAAACATTTAATCATCTCTAAAAACAACTGGCAGTTGTACGAGATTGCATTCTAAAATACAAGATTTGTTAATCGAAATCACAGAAATACCAGCTTCCCATGATACTGTACCTTATTCAAAGTCAGAATACTAAACAGGTCAACTGTTCATTTCCGGCTACATGATGACAAGTAAAACACTAACAATCCAGGTTTCAAATAGAAGTTTCCATAGCTTTGCATATAGCTTAGAAAAAAAATTGTTCGCATTTTTCTCGCGACAAAATAACATAGCAGCAGATGTATGTAAAACGTCTTTTAGTAAAGAGAAAATTCAGAATCTTAAAAATAATAATTGTTCACGAGTGCAATCACAAAAATCACATATTTATAGTAGGAATACTTAACAGTGCATTCTTAGGTTATCCATGAAGCGTAAGAAATTTGAGCTTAGAAAATTGTATTACGAATAATTCGACTATAAACAGCAGCTTGCTCATAATTTACGAACCAAGGCCTACGAATTGCTGCCATAAAGTGCGGCAAGCTTTTAGATTTCATATCATTTACACACACCGTAAATGTATCGCTTGGTTGGATAAATCCACCACCCAGTTTGATGGATAAAAGCTAGAATTCTATGATGATTCAGACGATATTTTGAAATCATACAAATGACATGTAAGAACAAACAGTTTATCAGTCTTATGAACGTAAGTCCTCTTTTCAAAATCTTGCTTTGCTTTTATTGATGTATTTATCTTATAAATTCTGTTTAAATATTTTTATGTTAAACTTTTAAAAAATGATATTTTGAAGTTTAGTAATTGTTTCTTTAGAATCAGTCCTCCGTGACTGAAGTCCAAACAACGTGGATGTTCGTTCAAACCGCTGAAATACTTCTAGCTGCACGAAGATTTCCCAAAAATATTCATAAATCCTTTATTTCACAATTCAGGAGCACAGAACTTCGTTTGGACTGTTTCCACTACCGTGCAAGATGGTGTCCACAAGGATAACGCCAAAGAAGAAAGCGCCGATAGCAGCCAATAGAATACCAGCAGCGATGAGGAAATAGCTTTTAAGATCCTTCAGTTTCGGATCCGTTTGTAATATCACTCTTATTAAACAGATACCTGTAAGAAAGAGTTACATAAATCTCTGAGGCACATTGTAAAGAAACATGCAGAAAATAAAGTACTTCATTTTTTGAGTTACATACTAGCCACCTTGAAATTAAATTGCCGAATATAAATTATGCGGCTTGAAAAACGCTGCCAAACAGAAAAGCTTCGGAAATATAATCAAGAAAAAAGTAGAATGTAAATAAAACTATATTTACAAGCAAATTCCCTTAAAACTATACTCATGCTCTCGGAAATAAAATTAAAAAAAAGTGCTGAATGTAATTAAACTACATTTACAAGAAAATCCCCCTAGAACTATATTAATGCTAAATTGATACCGCTAGCAAGGAAATATACTTTCACCATCAATTCATTTCGATCGTGGCAAAAGTTCCGTAGATACATCTTCCGTAGAAAATTGTTCAATGCGTGTTATAACAGGTAAATATATATAGCATCTAGCAGGTAAATCCAAAAGCACTTTATACTTCACAAAAAAATATCGAAAATGGTCATGGAATGCATCTGTACATCAATGCATCTACTGTAATGAAAAAGATCAGGGGACGAAATGTTAAAAGCTACGGGCAAAAGTAGAGTATTAGTGTTGAAAACTGGTCCTATGGTTCCAGACTGCCGTATCTAAAAGCATTGTGGTTTAGAAGAACTCGTATATATTAAATCAGAGTTTTTTTAAATGTGATAAATCTATAAGATGGTGTAAGAATCAATTAAAAATGTGACAAACAACTGTTGACTGAAACTGTCAAGTTACAATGCTAAGTGTTAATTAGGGACGGTATTCATTCGAAGATCAACTTAAGCGATTAATAGCACAGGTGGTGATTTTCTTTCAGGGTGACCGCTATAATATAATATAAAAAAATAATATTATTTAAGGAAAATAAATCTATTACAAAATATGGCTCGAAATGTAAAAAAAAATATCTATATTTAGGACACGTAATCAACACTGAGTAATGCTGTTAAACAACTGTTATCACAATATTTTAGGTAATACACTTCTAAGGTATTTCTCCCGCTTTCCTCGCATGCCTTCGTGGTGTAGTGCTTCTGCACGCTGAGCCGGTATTCCAGAGGTCCGTGGTTCGATTCCCGGCGAAGGCGGTTGCTCATTTTTCATCTCTCCGGCCTCCAAAAAATCCTAATGTCTCTACACACTTAGATAACAAATTATTCCATACAGCTTCCACTCTATGCCAATGTTCATCAATCGTCAATGGCTGGCCAGTGGTGGTATATGCCAGTTTGTCGACAACTCATGATCAGATGTTCTCAGTAAGTGAAAGATCTGGCACAGGGCAACAGTCGAACACAGCTTGTGTCGAAGAAGGTTGTACAGCAGGCAATATGCAATCGTGTATTTATTTTGTTGAAAGATGGCATCTTCGAAGCCTCACGAAGCTAGTCTTTAAAACGTCAGAAAACTAACAGTGGTTGCCCACATTAGCGGCTATACGAACAAGAGGTGACCGGGCTGTTCACCCGATGGCACCTCATACCAGCATGCCAGATTCTATACCTATATGAGGATGAAGAATGCAAGCTGGCAACGTTTGTTGTCCTTGGTGCTTCCACACATTCATACGGGCATTATGATTTGTACACAGAACCGGGATTCATCTAAAAAGACAACGTTGAATCACTCATATGTCCAGTGTCATCGTTCATCTCAGAACTGCGAGTGCGCCTGTCTCTGCTGCAGCCTTTAAGGGAAAATATAACTATGCTCGCCGTGCTGACGGTTCGTTGGTGCTTTTTCCCACAGTTCGCCGTGTGGACATTTGTTGTCCTGCACACAACTCGAGTTCTTAACTCAGTGTATGTGATGTGATGTAAATGTACGATTCCGCAAGGTAAAGAGGGCAAAAATGTATTTGTTTTCATGAAGCTTTATGGAGCGTTAGGTTTGCCACTATCTAGTTAGATTTCACACCAACGTTTATGTCTGGAGCTGTTAATAGGAAAAAAACAAACGAGTATTCAAATTTGATTAGATAGGTAATTATAATCACATTTTATTAAACTCAGCGGTTTTGCATTTATTTATGTTAACCACGAGACTTTCAACCGACAGAACAGCTCCAGCTAATATATGCAAGATGTGGGGGAAAAAAACTGTTTAGGAGCGGGGGAAACTGTAGACACTTAACAGCGAAGACTAAATATGTAACTTGGATTGCCCTCCAGCACTGCAAAATCTTAAGCATAGTCTTAAGCTTACAACACTTTATCAGCATTTATTCAGTTGATGCAGAAATGAGTGCAATGGAGTCTTAAGCAAAGTTGTATGATCAAATTTAGTGAAATCTTACAGAATGCAATGAAAGCATATTAAAAATGATACAGGCATATAAAGAACATGCGTTAGTGAAAGTAAAGGCGTTCAATGGACTTAAGGCATTTTCAAATGACCGGAAAAGAGTGGAAAATGAACCGCACTTTGGTAGACCTTCGATCGTGAATTACAAGATTATACTTCTGCTCCACGACGAGTTGAAAGCCGAATATCACTTTCAAAGGAAGACCATTTAGGTATAGAGTGACCAGTTCGACTTCTAGACTCGGATCAGATTTTGCATTTGCTCTATATGTTGATTACATTCATTGCATTATCACTCTGTATTTCGAGACAATGATATTGGGATAGTGAGATAATGCAGGCAGAAAAGTTTCTTGTATAAAATATTTGGTACTCGCATATTAGAGCAGCAACTCTGGCACAGTTTGGCGAGATTTTAATAATTTTGCACTATTTTAAATAATTATTATTTAAAATAGTGCAAAATTATTTTAATTATATAATATATTGTAAATTATATAAGTAAATTGCATTTTACTTATATAATTTACTTTTTTAATTAGGTATCTATCCTGAAAATCAATCAGTATACCTGTTTACAAGCTAAGTCTTCTAATACTGATGAAATTTCGTAATAATCACTTTAAGAATAAATTCAGAACAGTTTTTTCCCTTTACAGATTTTTCTGCAGTATATTGCATTTTTGTTGAAATTTCATCAGTTTCTTCCATTTTATCTAAAAATCACAAGCGAATATTTAAATTTCAATTCAAGACCAAAAAATATGACGATTTGTCAGTGAAAACCGTTAGGCGTTAGATTACAACAAAAAGGAAACACGCGAAAATGACGTCGTTGTTTGCTCAAACTAAATTGTTACAAGAGTAGTTATCAGAGCCAGGAGCATTCTGAAAACTGTGTGACTTGGCTAAGCTAATACGTAACTACTTATGCAGTTTAACTGTTTGTAGCTTCAAGAGATAAAAGAGACGTTCTTTACTGTTTGAAAGCTCTGTCGTATTTACGCTCAGTTATATGATGTTCTAAAGTTTTGTAAAATATTTGTATTTGATTAGATTTTGCTTATGTTTTTTTTTTTTTTTTTTTTTTTTTTTTTTTTTTTTTTTTTTTATGTACGGAGATATGAGCAAAAGGCGGAGGCATGGACAAAAACCCTCCTGACTGGTTTTGGTTGAAATTTTGGCGAATCTTTACATTATGGTAACTTGGTGATTTTTTGGTGAAATTTTGGCGACCAACCCTGCTACAGCAACCTGCTAGTTTTGTTTTGGACACCATTTTGTTTTCACGAAGTAAAGGCATTTTTTTTTTTTTTTTTTTTTTTTTTTTTTTTTTTTTTACTCAACATTTTTTCCAACAATCTGCTAGCCGAATTACACTTATACTAGAACTTTTATCCAACAATCTGCTAGCCGAATTACGCTTATACTTTTATGGAACAAAAATGCTTAATCATGACGAAGATTAGGTGCGATATTGGGAGAAAGTGCAGAATCGCAAACTGATTGCCGCATTTTTAAGAATTGCACATACACAGTATCCATGTACACGTCGACCTATTTTCACTTAAAAAAAAAAAAAAAAATCCCAGAATTGCACAAAAATGGCATTGCGCGCACTCTTGACTTTGTCCATGTACACTGCTAAAGTACTAGCTAGTAACCTTTATCGCCTTACCAAAATGTCGCCAAACTACCTGTTACCATATTCCAAAGATCAGCCGAAATTTTTGTTGTCACGCTGATGATATTTGGTGATTTCTTGACAACATGGCAACGTTTTGGAAGTTTTCGGAGAAGAAATTTTCGAAGCCCTACCTGCTAATTTCCCGGAAGCTCCTGGAAGTGCTCTGCGGTTCTATAAAAACGGTTGACATTTAGTCAAGAATTAGCTCAGTGATTCAGTTCGGAATCATGCCACCGTAACTAAATTGCAAGTTTTCGTGTTTCAAAGAGAGTTTTCCTTATCTGCGCTGTTTCCCTTTAGCTGTTTTTTTAATCCACCAGCGGCCGAGTGGCTAAGTCGCCGAACACTAGTAGTTCGGTCCGATGTTCGAATCCCGCGAATAGGCTGCCTGCATGGGCGTTTTCATGGTTTTCCCTATGTGTAACGTGTATACGAGCCCGTTTGCCTTAGAAAGTCCTCCACGAAGGTACAGTTAGTCAATAAAATCTGCGTACATCAAGAAAAGTAATATCAAATCCAAATTTTAAGGTGCGAAAAGGGTAGTTTCTTAAAGTTTTATTTTTTAAATATTTAGTTTCAATAAATGACTTTGAAATTATTTAACTGTCATATTTTCATATCTAATAATTTATGCACACTAGTTTTTAAAAGATAAGTGGCCAGAAATCAAAGCCAATAAAGTTTGTGTACAACGCGAAGGAGGCGGGGGATTTCTTACCTAACTTTTAAACTTCAAACTTGAGAATGCTAAGAAGGTTACACTTTCAAGGTCATTGACTTCCGAAGCAAATTTACGTTGATTGGAAGTTGCTATTTCTATTTTCTTTGACGAAAATGACAACCAATAAAGAAATTCCTTTAGTTACGAGACAACTAATTATCAAATTGAGAGATGAAGGTAAAACTCTTCGTTATATTGGTAAAACCATTGGAAAACCATTTTCTAGTGTGCAAAGAGTTATTCAAAACTATCTTGACACTGGTAGTCTTGCTGTAAAACAAGATGTGGGGGAGACCGAAGAAGCTAACGCAGAGAGAAGAAAGAAAAATTCTTTTACGAATTAAACAAAATCCTAAACTTTCTGCTGCAAGCATTGCAAAAGACATTTTTTTAACTAGCAACAAGGAAATTTCTTCTGAAACTGTACGAAAAGTGCTGCGAAAGTCCGATTATCATGGACGCAAACCTAGGTCTAAGCCATACATTTCCGAGACAAATAGAAAGAAAAGAATTGCTTTTGCCAAAACATATTTAAACTCTTCGCAGGACTTCTGGGACAATGTAATTTGGTCAGATGAAAGTAAATTTACAATATTTAAAGTTAATGGCCACCCTATTGTATGGAGAAAACCAGGAACAGATCTGAATCTGAGAAATTTAAATCCAACTGTCAAACATGGAGTTGGCGGTGTGATGGTATGGGGGTGTATGTCGTCGAAAGGAGTTGGAAATTTTCACATTACTGATAAAGTCATGGATAAGTATGTTTATCTGGATATTCTGAAGAAAAATCTACGAGACAGTTCCCGAAATTTAAACCTTTCTAATACCTTTATTTTCCAACAAGACAACGACCCGAAACATACAGCTAAAATTGTGAAGAAATATCTCCTCTATCACACTCCAAGACTCCTCCACAGTCACCAGACATCAATCCAATCGAACATTTGTGGGCAAAATTGGAGAAACGAATTCGAAAACACAATATTACGTCGCGAAATAAGCTAATTAGTAAATTGCAGGAAGAATGAGCGAAATTTACGTCGGATGACACGGAAAAACTAGTTCAGTCAATGCCCAGACGTCTGCAAGCTGTTTTGAAGAATAAAGGATATCCTACAAAGTATTGAAGTAATGTAAAAAACTTATATTTTCCTTTTTTTTAAAGTGTGCACAGACTTATCGGAGGGAATTTCTGAGGTTTTTTTGACAAAATATATTTTTGAAAAAATGTAAAAAGTATTACACTGATATTATTTACTTTTTATTTAAGCTTACAATTTTAGCGAATAGAAGAAAAAAAATGCAATGATTAAAATACCATTTTTCTATGCTTTAAGTGTTTTTTTAATTTAATTTAGTCTGTACGCAGACTTTTGTGACTAACTGTATTCCTTTCCTTACGCAGATATTCCTCGAGGTTTTGCCGTAATCATATAAACCAAACCAACCCTTGAGCTTTTTATAGCTGTTTACCTTGTATGCGCTATTATTTGTTTCAGTAACGTATATATTTCTTCTTGTTAGTCTAACATAGTCATCAAGGAACACATAAGCCAGTAGGTCCCAACAGTAATATTTGGGTTCGCAGAATCCCGAATAAAAAAACACTGCATTAACACCCTGCAAAGTGACCGAGACAGTTTTGTCAGCTTTCTTTAGAAATTGTGACTGTTTAATCCAAAAGGATCTAAAAGAGATTTTATATAAGCTTATTGTATGAACTCACCTGGATAAATGAAGATATTTGCCGACGAAATGGAGCCTAAGGCGTGTATAACTATTCCAATGTTACTAGTGTAAAGGGCCAATACTAGAGATGTACAGAACCAAACACTTGCAATGATGATTCGTCTCCTTTTCTCACCATCAACAAAATCAGCCGCCGATAAACGGAATAATTCAGAATATAAGCCATCTACTGCACCCCTGTAAGAGAAATACTACATATGAATTTGAAAGAGAAATGATCTATTCTATGCCTGAGGTAATGTATAAATGTTACTAGACTATATAAATTTTCAGTGAATAAATAAAGAAATATTAAAACAGTCACCCCCCCAAAAAAATAAATTAGGCATTATTTCTGCTGCTCTAAGAAGTAATGTTGTCGGACCTTACCAATGATATTCGTTATGAAACTTTCAGTAGCAATCAAACATGTCAGCAAAATAACATGTCCAGTGGTGTGGCATTTTGTTTTCATCTGCAATTCCCAGAACAGGCGTATAAAGTGTTGTGAATACTCCGCATTATTTTCGGTCAAAGATTGGCAACATTGTTTTGGAATAGAGAACGCATTCCTGGAAAGTGGCATCATGACGAACGGCGGTTACATTCCTTTAACAGCCCGCCAGAAAGCATGGCGTGTTCAACCGCTAGTGTTTCGGCGTATTGCAATAATTGTAGTTTTTAGCCCAAAGAGGAAATTTGCCCATTAATTTCGTTTTGACATTTTGCGATTTTCACTACAAACAGTGTTTCACTTTTACAGTTGTTGCCACCAAATATTAGTGCCTTACATTATATTTAAGAAAATTAAACAATGAAGGATCTGCATGAATGTATGTATGTTTCTCGCACTGTGAATAAACAACGGAACCTACGGACATCAAATTTTGAATAATGTAGTCCTCCACCCGAACATGGGCACCCGGAAGCCCGTATTTTTTTTTTACTTATTATCAATATCATATTTTATAAAACTTACGCATTTTTAATTAACAAACTCAACGATTTCAAAGACAGCAATGGCAACACTGTACGAAAAAAAAAAAAAAAAAAAAAAAACCTAACCTAACCTAACCTAACTTACTACTACCGGCCAGAACGTAGTTTTAGAATCACTTCCGAATACATAATGAAGAAGAGCGGTATTTAACCGAGAGTTCTTCGGTCTTTTAGTGAGAGAGATACCAGGTTTCTAGCTGCACGCGTCCGCCTTTTTAGGCTACTCTCTCGTAAGCTATTACTACGCTCGGCCATACTTTAGGCCCTTTATAGCTTCGCAGTCTATTAACATTAAGGGGCCAACTCGGTTAGAATCTTGATAGCTTCTATATTTCTTTAGTTTAGATTAGTTTAGTATTATTCTTAGTCTCTTAAGTTCAAAGCCTAAGTGTCGGCTTTATTGTACACTCCAAGACGGAGCTTTGTTAAACTTTAGTTGGAATAATAAAGGGCTAGTTTACCCTTCAATCTTGTTGTTTCCTGTCACACGAACTCAAGCGATTATTCGCTTATCAGTTCTTAAGATTCTTCACTTCCAACAGTAACTCAGCATTACACTACAAATTCCTACAAAAGGAATCCTACAAAATTATTTTGTGATTTTGCTGTTGAAGTGAGATAAGTGAGAAGAACATGATATTTAATAAATAAAGTTAACATAAAAAAAGTTAAAAAAACGCCACTTTAGACGTAATATAAAATCTGAAAACTTCCAGAATTTTTTTGCTGTATTTATTTTATTTTATATTCGTAACATTATTCAAATTTGTTACAATTAATTTTTTTAAATAGCCACTTAGTGTTTTTAAAATTAAATTTAAGAGAGGGACTTTGAATATTTTTATTAAAAAATAAAATTTGGTATGAATAAAGCAAATATGATTATTACAATTAATTCTACATCTAAATCAGACTATAGGATATAAAGTAGTCTAGTTAAAAATGTAAGCTTAAATTCTAAATTTCTAGTTTTTCTGTTACTTACTTTGACATTACTCTTTGTATGGAGCGGTTTGCCTTTCATTTCTTCAGCGCAATACCAGTGGCACGAGACACCACCAATTCGCAAATTTTGAACTGAAAATTTCGTTCAACAATGACCATTTACTTGTCCCCTACACGCCATATTGGAAACATGCGGTTTTTAGCTAGTCGAATCATGCAAGTTTTTCTTTTTCTTTTTTTTTTTTTTTTTTTTTTTCTTTTTTTTTTTTTTTTATTAACATAACTTTTGGTAAAACTTGGAAACAGGCATAGACTTTAGATTATTTTTACTTAATTAAATATTTTGTTCAGTTGGTAAAACAATACTTAGTTCTAACTTAAATGGTTGAATTAATTCACAGTTTTGTTTTGCCATCCAAATTCCTTGGCAATTTTTTTTCAATTTGTTGCTAACTGATTTGCAATTTCGGTGGTTTATCAGTTTTTTACTCATAATTTTTACCCTGATTTTTCTGTTTAGACTTTGCGTTTTCGACTTTATCTTTTCCCGCATTAATAATTTCAGATTTTGTCGTTTCGAGGTGGTCAGAGTTGGTTCCAGATGAATTACATTTTCTTAAATTTCAATTTTATGAAATGAAATTAAATTTAATTGATTCAGTTTCTCGCAAATTCATGTACAATCCGTTTCAGAATGAACGACCAGATTATGCTGAATAATCATCCCTAATGAGAGTATTATTCAGCTTAGCCTTTCAAATCTTTTTTGGTTTCCTGTTATAATTTTTTTAATGAATTTTTCACTCGTAAAATTACTTTACAAACATTTGTTCACTTTTTAAAGATGAATTTTTATTATTACAGTTGTACTTTTCTTTTGAAATTTTGCTTATTTAGTAGTATGTGTAAAGAATCCGAAACGGTATTTTAATACTTCACGCATTCATATTTATATTACATGTTCACATATTTAATATTGTTTGGAGGAAAAGTTTTTTCCAGAAATGTCTATATTGCACAATGTGACTGAACACATTCGCAATGTTCTGCCGTTTGTCGAAACATAGGTCATGCAAATATTAAAAAAGCAAGCATTAAACAAAATTTGAATTTTCTCATAAATACTTCTGTAGAAGAAAATCGTTGACTTGTTACAACTAATTTCTGATATCATTGACAATCTATTATTTTCTTATATCAGTTTCACAAATGAGTACGTTTTCGTGATGTAGCATGTTTTTAAACCCCTTACTGCACCAATAAAAAATTTTTACTGCCAAAATTTTTATTCCTTATTTTAGCTCAATCTTCTTTAAACACTTTCTTTTTTATAACTCCAAAGTATAGTGGATATAATCATTATATTCATATCTAAAACAAAATTATTTAATGTATTTACTCGAATGCGTGGAAATAATTTAGTTCGCTGTACCCGAGTTAACTGGGTTGAGTGCATTAAGAGGTTCATGCCCTGAAACCTAAGAAAAAGCAAAAAGAATATTAAAAGTATAAAATTACCTTCCGCATAGTGCTAGTACAGGATAAGTGACAACCATTTTCACGATCAGAGCACCAATGCCTATCATGACTACAGGATCCTCAGCATCGTACATTTTCATTACGTTCGGGGTCACCACTGACCCGAAAGTCAGGTAACCGAAGCAACCGATAGTGGAATAAATAACGATAAGAAAGCTCATGGACAGACAGCAAGACTTGGTGAAGTTTCCCAGTGTGCGATTCTTCATGCAGGAGTACACAGGGACCACAACTTCTTGGCACTAAGAAAGTTATCAGTGAATAAATATAAGCAATTCTTTTACATCAACATATAGAATAATAATCGTAAAAGTAATATGAATTGCTTAACATAATCCCAAAATTAAAAAAATAAAAAAAATTTCTTCAAAATTCTCTAGTCAAAATTAGGTTTACAGAAGGAAACTAGGAACTAGGAAAACTAGGAAGTTAGAATTTACTAAGCTTAAAATATTCCTTCTTTTTATGAAGTTTGGGATTTAACTCAGGATATAACAACCTTCAGTCTCATTCCTACTCATAAAAAATTTAAGTCCTTTGATAAACTAAAAAAAATTCATATCAATATGGTTTTCTCTTAATCTAATAATCAAGATAATTTTAAACAATTTTAGATAAAATTCACTCAAAAGAAAAAATAAAATGCATATTCTAACATCCTCTCTACCATTTTAACAACAATTATACTGAAACTTTAACATCAAGTACCAAATGGTATGTTACCAATTTTGTATAAAACTGAAACATATATTAAAACCACTTAATACTGCCCAGCCGGGATAGTGTTTAGTGCCTGTGACTGCCGTAGGGAAGGACTCGTGTTCAAATCTAGGAGAATCCATGGATTTTACCTGTAAAGGAAACTCAATCTTTGAAAATACTCCTTTACACTGACAGTTTCAGTCACATATACCTCTTTTTCCTTGATATTTTCACTCCTTGACATTTTCACTCCTTGACATTTTCACTCCTTGACATTTTTTACTCGACATTTTCACTCTTCGATATTTTCACTCTTGGATAATTTCACTGTTCGATATTTTCACTCTTCGATATTTTTTCACTCCTTGAGACTCCCTGACGTTTTCTCCCAGACAAGTTTTTCCCTCTTCTCACTGACATTTTTACCTGTAAAGGAAACTCAATCTTTGAAAATACTCCTTTACACTGACAGTTTCAGTCACATATACCTCTTTTTCCTTGACATTTTCACTCCTTGATATTTTTACTCCTTGACATTTTTACTCCTTGACATTTTCACTCCTTGATATTTTTACTCGACATTTTCACTCTTCGATATTTTCACTCTTCGATATTTTTTACTCCTTGAGACTCCCTGACGTTTTCCCCCAGACAAGTTTTTCCCTCTTCTCACTGACATTTTTACCTGTAAAGGAAACTCAATCTTTGAAAATACTCCTTTACACTGACAGTCACATATTTCAGTCACATATACCTCTTTTTCCTTGATTCAACTCCTTGATTTTCACTCTTTGATATTTTCACTCTTTGATATTTTCACCCTTTGATATTTTCACTCTTGATATTTTTTCAATATTTCATTCATTTTCACTCCTCTGACTTGACAGTCACTGACATTTTTCGACTTTACACTGACAGTTTCATCATCTCTTTTTTCTTGATTTCACTCCAAATTTTGATGTTTAACTTTTACTTGACATTTTACTCCTTTCTGACATTTTTCTTTGATTGACATTTTACTCAATTTTTACTCGTTGACTCCTTGACATTTTTACTCCTTGACATTTTACTCTGACAACATTTTTTCCTTCATTTTTACTCCGTGAATTCACTCGACATTTCCTCCTTGAATTTTCACTCCTTGACTTTCAACATTTGCACTCACTCCTTTCTGACCTCACTATTCACCTATCAGGAAACTTGACACTTCACACATGGTTCTTGACATTTTCACTCCTGAAAACTTTCATTGTGACATTTCACGCTTTGAATTTTCACTCTTTGAAATTTTTATCCTTGACATTTTCACTCGACATTTTTGAATTTTGACATTTTCAATCTTTGATATTTCACTCCTTTTTCACTGTTTGACAGTCACAAGAATCTCTTTTTTCTTGACATTTTCACTCTTTGACATTTCACAGTCCTTGACATTTTCACTCCTTGACCTTCTCACTGACATTTCCTGTTAATACTTGACTCAATCTTTGACAATACTCCTTGACACTGACATTTCCAGTCACATCTGTATGGTCACAAATGTCTCTTTTTTCTTGACATTTTCACTCCCCCTGAGAGTTTCCCCTGTCAAGAAAACTTTCAATCTGTGACATTTTCACGCTTTGAAATTTTCACTCTTTGAAATTTTTACTCCTTGACATTTTTACTCACTCTTCGACATTTTCACTTTTCGATATTTTCACTCTTCGATATTTTCACTCCTTGACATTTTCACTCCTGACATTTCCTGACATTTTCGACATTTTCTGACTTGAATTTCAAACATTTCACTCCTTGACATTTTCACTCCTTGACATTTTCACACCTCGACATTTTCACTCTTCGACATTTTCACTCTTCGACATTTTCACTCTTCGATATTTTCACTCTTCGATATTTTCACTCTTCGATATTCTCTTCATTTTCTCTTCGAATTTTTCACTCGATATTTCACTCTTCGATATTTTCACTCTTCGATATTTTCACTCTTCGATATTTTCACTCTTCGATATTTTCACTCTTCGATATTTTCACTCTTCGATATTTTCACTCTTCGATATTTTCACTCTTCGATATTTTTCACTCTTCAATATTTTTCACTCTTCAATATTTTTCACTCTTCAATATTTTTCACTCTTCAATATTTTTCACTCCTCGATATTTTCACTCCTTGATATTTTCACTCTTTGATATTTTTGACTCTGACCTCACTGACATTTCCACCTATCAAGGAAACTGACAATACTCCTTGACACTGACATTTCCAGTCACATCTGTTTGGTCACAAATGTCTCTTTTTTCTTGACATTTTCACTCCTTGAGACTCCCTGACATTTTCCCCCTGAGAGTTTCACCTGTCAAGGAAACTTTCAATCTTTGACATTTTCACTCTGACAAAATTTTCACTCTTTGAAATTTTTACTCCATGACATTTTCACTCTTCGATATTTTCTCTCTGATATTTTCAATCCTTGACATTTTCACTAATCGATATTTTCATTCCTTGAGACTTTCACTCAAAGAAAACTTTCAATCTTTGACATTACTGCTTGAAACTGACATTTTCGGTCACATATGTGTGGTCACAAAGGTCTTTTTTTTCTTGACATTTTCACTACTTGACATTTTCACTCTGATATTCTCACTCCTTGACATTGGATGTCGTGGCGATGAATGTCGTGTGCAAATGCTGACCATTGTCAGAAAATTGAGATTCGAAATAAGCACAGACTTAATAGTCAGAGAAAAAAAGATTAAAAAATAGTATAAAAAGCATTATTTTATACTGACAATTCGCTGTTGCCGATTGTTTTATTGTGTGATGCGTTCATATTCTGCATTGCTTTGAATTTAAACATGGCATCTTTGAAACGCAGTCAACTCTTCATTAACCGACCCTTGTCTGAAAAATAGTTTTTTTATTATAGAACGGTGAAAAACTTATGTCAAATCATCAGTATAAGACAAAACTGGGCTCAACGTGTTAAAGGAGAAAAACTGCAGTGACTGCAGATGATGTCATACTACACTGGTTATCATAAATTAAGGAAAAATCACAAAAATGATGATTACTGAAAATGTTACATGTAGAATTTAATGAAACATACCCACAACATACAACACATAGTAAGGTATCAACACATAGTAAGTAACCCTTTAATAACAAAAAGAAATTACCAGAAAAATATGGTAGTATAGAAATTAGCACACGTATAAAATGAACAAATCGAAGGTGTCAGTTTGCTATAGGAAAAGTATCTGCAATATGGAATATGGTCGCCTCTAGAAGCAATACAGCACATACAGCGATGTGTGATGTTTTTAATTATGCGGTCTATCAGTTCCATAGGAAGCGAGAGCCATTGCTATTGCAAAGAAGTAGCAAGCGCGACAAGAGTCTGAGCAGGCGGATTGAGAGCAGCTAGACATCTCCCTAAAGCATCCCAAACGTGCTCGATAGGATTCAAGTCCGGAGATCGAGCTGACCACTCCATGCGTATAATTGTTTCCTGTTGAAGATAATCATCTACGATGCGAGCCCTGTGTGGTTTTGCGTTGTCGTCCTGTAACAGGAAAGTATCCCCTATAAGCCCCGGTATATGGGCACATATAAACATCAAGGATGTCTTCTCTGCAAACTTGAGCATTCTCGGTTCTCCTTGGAAAGACATGGAGGTCTGTGCGTCCACCCAAAGAGATAGCACCCCAAACACAGACGCTGCCTCTTCCGTATGCATCTCTTTCACGGATGTTTGACGGATGATAACGGGTTCCAGATTCTCTCCATATCAAATAACGCTTACTATAGCTTTCTAGACATGTTGTTGTGTCCACTGTAAACGGTCCCTCCTATGGCGTGACGTGAAAAGCACGCATATGGCTAGTCGCTCGCATACAGACCACCTTACCTTCGCACAGTTGACGCCTTCTATGCTCAGTTGACGTTGACACCAAACTTCCGATGGTTGCAGCAAGGGAGGATCTAAGAAGAATCGGAGTAGCGGTTCTATTCCTGCGTGCACATAATATCAAATATCGTTCATCGACGCTCGTTGTAGCAGTGGGCCGTCCATGGCTGAACCTCCTAGATACCGAATCTGTGGTTAGAAATTGCCTCCAAAGTCTGTGAACCACAGAAGGACTCACATGTAGCCATCTGGCCACTTCTGTTTGACTTTGTCCTGCCTCTAGCCTCCCAATGACTCTCCATCGTAGTTCTGCAAGCAAATGATGCCTGGAGGTCATTGTAACGAATTGGCTATCTCAGATTTCTGATGTCACTATCACAGTGAAATAGGTGGACTTGCTCTCAAACATGACTTTTATGCTCCTCGCAGATGACGTATTCCGAGCGCAGTGCCACTAATTTGCATATTGCAGTTTTACTCAGCTACTCTTACTTGGCAACATACTCAAATTTTACACGGTTTGGCTTATTTTTGAGGGAGTTATCGCTACTTTTGTGATTTTTCCTTAATTTATGATAACCAGTGTATTTGGAATTAAGTTGCTTTTATATACACCAGTGCGTAATTTCGCTGAGCCTAATGCGGAATATATAAAAACTGTTAAGTCATCCATTGCAAATAAATTATTAAATCTTATTGAAATATAAGAGCAACATAAAGATTGTTCTTTTAGATTTGCAAATATATTCTTTCTCAGTTTAAAATGCTCAATTATTTAACAGAATGAATTTATTCTTCAAATTAAACAGCTTGAAAATACAACTAAAAGTAATTCCCGGTATTAACCCCGATTGATCGATAATTAATCTGCAGAAACTTGTACGTGGTTTTAAGCTAATTTAATACAACTCTCTTGAATTTAATATAATAATAACTCTATAGCTAATTTAATATTATAAAGTTGTATGTTTTATAATATATAACGATGCAGAAAAATATACAGTACATCATAATTTCAGATAACTATGTTAAAAGCAATACAAAAAGTAAAGCAAAAAGTAAAGCAAAAAGCTCTCACCTGATAAGCAAAGCACAACACAGGAACAGAAACGAGGAGTTGGGAAATAGTATCTGGTCTTGAAAGAAAAAGAAGAAAATTAGTCTTAAGACTAAGTAAAGCAACACGCTAAAGATTTCCCACATTCACAGAGATAAAGTTATTAAAAATACAACAAAAAGTTTTTACTTACTCAGTTTTGATCTGAACATTCTTTATATCTAGTTTGAAGTATCCATAAACTGTGAGAAAGACTGGATACAACATTGCAAATATACCTAATGAGCTGGAAGAAAAATTCAATAAATAAATTTATTTTTTTAATTTTTTTTGGTGTCCCAAAAATATAATCTAATATTCCAAAAATTTTAATCTAGTTAAATCTCTACATATAATAAAAGAAAGAGTCTGTGTGTGTGCCTTTCGTCTCGTAATGCCAGACAAAACATTGAGTGGAGCACATTTACGGCACGGGAAACCTCTCGCATGCTAATATTCGGATGATCTACCACTATTTGTAGAATGTCCTATACAACTTGTGGTGTCCGCACACTCCTGCCACGCCTTGTAGCATGCATGCCGGTGACAAAGGAGTTTTACACAGGCACCGATGCAATCGCTCGAACATTTTTCGGTGGACGTCGAAACGAGAAGACACAGAGGCGTTGTAAAAGCAAGGAACTCTTGTGCAATTCAAAGTGTCCTAACAGTTTAAGTTGTTACAATAAATTAGATTGAATAATGTTAATCACATAATCAAGTAAGCTTGTTATTGGTGTTATTTTCATTTCTTATTTAGATTATACTGTTCGTATTAAATTCAACAATTTATTTACATGTGCTGCTATTTAAGCCTTCTCCTATTTGACATATATCATAACATGTTTTAATAATAAACTGCGATTTAAAAACGTAAAAGCGAGAACCGGTGTAAGCGAGAAATAAGGATATTTAGCAAACATTTCGGCCATAGACTCAGCGACTATGTGAATGTTGATATTCACCGAACAGTGTCGGTTTCGGTACTTTCATGGCAACATATTCATCTCGCACATGAAAGAAACCGTAAAAGACAAGCATGCAGCCAGCCCGTTCGGGACAAGATTTGAATTATGATCGAACTACCCGTGTTTAGCTATTGACCGTTCAGCTACTGGTGGACTACCTTGTAGTTAATTATCGCATTCTTCCTGCGCGGTCTTGAGACGCATGTGGTCAGCCCGTACAGTTAGCAACTGGAAGATGGGCGCTTTGTATTCCGGCGATGTCTCAAACGATTTTTTTAAGTTTCTTGGTTCTAAATGTTTAATGTTCTCTACAGTATCGTCCAAATTAAAATATAGCACATAACTTGTCACCAACTGGATTTGAGCGACTAGTCTTGTATATGTCTTCCAGTTGCTCTCTGAAGAGGTTGATTGCAAGGAATTATAGCATTCCTCTGTATTTTATGGATGGCATAAGTTGTTAGCAGATCTAGATTAGCAAATCGCTCTAATTCAGGCAACATCTCTTATTTGTTTTGTTCCCTTGTTCAAAATATTTGAATCTCTACAGTGGAAACAAAGGAAGAGAAAATATGTTTTACCGAAACTGTATTTCCAGTATAAAGATTCTGTTCATAAGAATGAATTACTTGATTTTTCAACCATAATCTACCATTTTATCAAAAACTGGCCTATTCTAAGAATTATTATAATAATATTTGGAAACTAAGCGAAAATGATTTTCAGCGACGCCATGCATTAAATTATTTCGGCTGCACGTAAGAGTATTTTCTGTTTACTTACCCAGCATATCTCAGAAAGTCTACTCTTCTGAAGTAACATATAGGCAGAATGAACAGAACTGCAGCCACGGGAATGGTGAAATGACGCTCCAGGTACCAGTGATGACAAAATGTGGACCCAAAAGCCGCTAGAAACACTAAGATGAAAAAAAAAAAATTTTTACACAAAATGAGCCAAAAAAATTACTACTAAATTTTACAAACAAAAAAGACAGCAGTAAATCAAATTTTTTAAATGATTCTCAAAAGATATTCAAATCGAATAGATTCTCGGGTTAAAATTTGGTTAGTTGTACATTTTTTAACTCTTTTAAGAGTGCGACACCGTTCTGCTGTCTGGGGGTGCATGAAAGATAATATTTTTGGTGAAGAGTGAAATGGAGCCTGTTCACCCGAATGAGTAAGACAAACCAATGGAATCCATGAAATGGAATGAAACGTAGAATGGTGTATTGGTGTATGTAATTATGGCAAAGCACACTAGGGCTATCTGCCTAAGGGGAGGGATGCCTTCGTGGAGGACTTTCTAAGGGAAACTGGCTCGTATACACGTAAACATGCCCTTACATGCCTGATGCGAAACAGGTTTCGTATAGCAATAGGTTTGTAATGATATATAGAATCAACAATTTTAATCGGTTAAATATTTTACTTCGGCCCTATAGAGGCCGCGCGATATGATAGCTGAATACTGTTCCGACCTGGGTTAGATTCCAGGGGAACGGGCTGGTTGCTTTTTTTTTTTTTTTTATGTAGTTTTACCCACGTACATAAAATATTTCACGCTACCTGAACAAGTATCCGTTTAAATGTTTGATTTTCCTATGCAGAACGTGAAGATAAATTGATTTTTCTCAGAATGCAGACATCCATCCCTTTACAAGCTTTGCCATAATCCAAATATTTCTCTATTAAATGGCTTGTTTGAATCAAAGCTTAAAATTAATTTTTGACCCATTTCTTCAGAGACGTTTATCTACGTAATCAAATTATCCAGTGCATTAAAATGCTAAAGTTGCTGAAGTGTTGACTTCTGAGCTATTTATAAAATATAATTTATTTAGTAATAAAGGCTCTTGAACACATTATTTTTCGTTTACTTTCAGAATGTTTACCTAAATTTAGTTTGGATAAACACTTCCTCATTCATTTTAAAGGAAATAACATTCACTACCTATTAAAAATAAAAACAAACTACAAATGCAAAAGAAACTGAGCACCAAAACGAAGGAGAAGTGCTATCCAAATGAACTCAACGAAACTGATACGCAAATTCCTCACAGCAATTGGTACTTACGTCGATCTAATTGGTCTCCGATAATGATGAATATGGCTACACAGACTCCGTAACATGTGCACGTGATCGACAGAGCAGCCAGCTTCTGGGCTTTGCGACCACACATAGACATCAGTACGTCATGGTAAGTGACGTCAAGATTGACATCAGAGCAATACGCCAGAATGAGCATGGTCAATATGATTAAGACTAGCATTACCTGAAAGAAAAAAAGCGCAATCATGATTTCGGAGCTTTGGAAATATTACATAACTGCAAATATGCGTAATAAGTTAACACATAATTTGGACATTATTTAGCTGTTATGAATTCGATAAAGAAATTGACAGATTACCTAAAATTGTTTCGTTAAGATTAAGTTTTGAGCTTCCTTAATTCTACCACCAAGGAAAGCTGTCGAGCTTCCCCAGACACTAAAATTTCAAGAGGGATCAAGCATGTGAATAAAAAAAAGTCAAGGTGTGACATTTTCGAAATAGCCAGTAATTTACCCTCCAGAGATGTGTATAATGTGATACGCGAACGCGCAATATACAGGGCGTTTCGAAATTCGTGGGCAAGCATTTAAGGGACGTTAGAAAACATCCAAACAAGCAATTTCCACCATACAATGCATGGGCGAAGAGCAATCGGTGAACTGCTAAACGGCCCTGTAATGGAAAGCACAAAGAGCGAGTTTTTGTATATATCGTCATTTCTAGCGTAGATTTCAGAAGGCATGTCGACGTACTGTAATCAGGTAAAGGCGACATGCCTTTTATGTATGGTTTTGCGAATGGGAATGCTTTGCAAGCCAAAAGACTGTACAGGCAGCGTTTTCAGAGAAGACACGTGCCAAACCGAAAAATGTTCGAGCGATTGCGTCGGTGGCTGTGTAAAACTCCTTTGTCACCGGCATGCATGATACAAGGCGTGAGAGGAGCGTGCTGACGCCACAAGTTGTAAAGGACATTCTGTAAATAGTGGTAGATCATCCGGATATTAGCACGCGAGAATATCCGAATGATCTACCACTATTTACAGAAATAGTGCCGTAAATGTGCTCCACTTAATTTTTTGCCTAGTTTTCGGGACGAAGGATTACACCCCTATCATGTACAGAAAAGTGCAAGCCTCGATACCCGCAGATTATGCGCCACGTGTCGAGTTTGAAAGTTGGTTTTTGCAACAGCTTGCAGCGGAGTATGATTTCGACCCATATGTGTTATTCACGGATGAATGCACCTTTATTCGTGAAGGCATTTCTAATACGCATCTTTATAGCCCCTAAAATTTATGCCCAACACGAAACACCCTGTATAACAAGTAAATATAATAATGCACCTGTGAGATTTAAGGCATTATACACTGAAGTGACAAAAGTCATGGGATACCTCCTAATATTTTGTCGGTCCTCCTTTTGTCCGGCGAAGTGCAGCAACTCGACGTGGCATGGACTCAACAAGTCGTTGGAAGTCCCCTGCAGGAATATTGAGCCATGCTGCCTCTATAGACGTCCATAACTGTGAAAGTGTTGACGGTGCAGGGTTTGGGGCACGAACTGACCTCTCGATGATGTCCCATAAATGTTCGATGGGATTCATGTCTGGCGATCTAGGTGGCCAGATCATTCGCTGGAATTGTCCAGAATGTTTTGCTAACCAGTCGCGAACAATTGTGGCCCGGTGACATGGCGCATTGTCATCCATAAAAATCCCATCATTGTTTGAGTACGTGAAGTCCATGAATAGCTGTAAGTGATCTCCAAGTAGCTGAAGGTATCCATTTCCAGTCAATGATCGGTTCAGTTGCACCAGAGGACCAAGTCTATGTCATGTAAAAACAGCTCAGACCATTATGGAACCACCACCAGCTTGAACAGTGCCTTGTTGACAACTTGGGTCCATGGCTTCGTGGGGTCTACGCCACACTCGAACCCTACTATCAGCTCTTACCAACTGAAATCGTGACGCATCTGACCAAGCCACGGTTTTCCATTCGTTTAGGGACCAACCGATATGCTCACAAGCCCACGAGAGTGGCTGCAGGCGATGTCGTGCTGTCAGTAAAGGCACTCGAGTCGGTCTTCTGCTGACATAGCCCAAGGAAGACAAATTTCGCCGCACTGTGCTATCAGACACGTCCCTCGTACGTCCCACATTGATTTCTGCGGTTATTTGACGCAGTGTTGCTTGTCTGTGGACATTGACAACTCTACGCAGACGTCGCTGGTCTCGGTCGTTAAGTGCAGGTGGTCGGCCACTGCGCTGTCCATGGTGGGATGTTACGCCTGAAATTAGATATTCTCGGCACGCTCTTGACACTGTGGATCTCGGAATGTTGAATTCGCTAACGATATCCGAAATGGAATGACCCATGCGTCTAGCTCCAACTACCATTCCGCGTTCAAAGTCTGTTAATTCTTGTCGTGCGGTCATAATCACGTCAAAGCCTGTTCACATGAATAACTTGAACACAAATGAAAGCCCTGCCAAAGCACTTCACATTTATACATTTTCTACGCGATACTGCTGCCATCTGTATATTTGCATATTGCTATCCCATGACTTTTGTCAGTACAGTGTAGATCCATGCTAAAAAGTTCTATAGTTCATACACATACGTGACTCCATCACATTGTAAATTGATGGGAGAAGACAGAGCTGCGAACAAAGTTGATAATCAGCCCTCAGGTAAGAGCGTTATATACGCCACATACAAAAAAAGTTTACTTCCGGGAACGAAAGAGGCATTTGACAGGTGAAGACAATATGTGCTCGACTTAAAATTGGAATAGTTGCTTGTTAGACCACCTTCTTTAAATTCCAACAATAAATTGCGAGTTCCATATCACGTGTCTTCTGAAATTCGGTGCACATTTGCTGATGCATTCGGGCCACTTTTTTTATTCCGCTTCTCTCAGCAGCCCGGTTAATTCGCCGCATTTTGTTCGGGATCTCTATATTTTGGGAAACTGCTCTTAAGAACTTTCTTGTTCCAATAGGATATACGATTTCCATATAAAGCTCTTTTTAATGTATGATAAGGCCATATTGTTTGTGGAATAGTTTTGCATCTCCTTCGTTACTAATATTGGCAATAGAATATGATTATTATAAGACATTTAGTTTATGGCACAACACACTTATTACTATACAATATTACATTTTAACATTTAAACATGTCCATATTCTGTATAATACTACTCAAACAATAATAACCACCATACAATATGCCTGCCAGTTCCCCAAAATACGCCTTATTACACAATAGCCTTGTAACTCTGGATAAAGTACTGTTAGTCTGTGCTTACAAATATTGCACTTTACTATACAATACTTTATACAGTCTACTTTGGAGTTTTCGGAGAATTGAGAAGTGCCATACTTCCTACCTGTTATTTTTTCCCACAAGGTTGATCATTCTTAAAACTTTCGAATGATTATCATCAGAAGTCCGAAAGCCACTTGTAAGACTAACTGCAGCTTAGCCAGAGAAATTCGAAAATCACATTGCTCATGGTCGCTTCTGCTTCAAGAATACCTCGCTATATTAAATAAATTCTATCTCGCTGGGAATTTCCAATTGTAGAGTTGTAAGAGTTCATCATTATAAGGAGTATTATAGAAGCTGTTCAAAATGAACAATGTTTCTGCAAAGTTCACAAATCTAGTTTAAGTTATTATTCTAGTGACATGAGTTAGAAGTAAATGATTTCAATTTGTCAACAAACGTTACAGATACATTTCTTAAGATGCTGCAGCCGAGTATAAAGGAAGATTTCAAAGCAACCGTATACGTAATGATCCAATGGTGTTAAGTCTTAATTTCAAGGGGGTCATTCAACACTCACTCGAAGACTCACTCGATTATAGTCACGATTAAATTATGTTTACCCTGTATAGAAGTCGAATATCCATTCTATTATTTGAACATGGCAAACCCCGAGGGCTACCTGACAAAGAGGAACGATACCTTCGAAAAGGACTTGCTGAGGGAAACTGTCTAGTAGTCACGTTACACATGAGGGAAAAAACACGAAAATCAAACATTCAAGCCAGCCCGTTTACCTAAGATCGAACCCAAACCAGGTTGAACTAACCGTATTCAACAGTCTTAACTATTTGGCCACCGGTATGGCCTGCACAGAAGTCATAGATGGTTACAGATTCGAACTTTAATAATTTTGAACGCTTTTGAAGCGATATTGCAACATCTAAGCAATAGTCCATTTCACGCTATACATTCTGAAGCAGCAGTGAATCAGTATCTAAAGTCACCAGGGCAAGCGCATTTTGAGTTCTGGAATTGTTTTCGGCAAAAAAAGCAACATATAGTGGGTACAAAAAGTATTTGCACACATGCATTTTTGTTCCCATTTATAAGAAAATGCATTAAGAAATACAAAAATTGGCATTTAAAAAATAGAATAAGCTTATTCATTTAAATTAATTACAAAAATACAATAATATTAATAAAAACATTTTTTGCAACAATATTAAAATAGCTTATGTCAAAAAGTATTTGCACACTCAACTTCAACTTTAGCAAATTTGCATTTTTATGCTATTATTTGAACAGTCATCCCGCAGTAAATAACATACGTAAAAAGACGACAGATAAAAGGAGGTGTCGAAACGTTATCAGTTGATTGTCCATTTCAAATTGTAATGGCACATAAGAAATCTGAATTGCCGATTTCGTTGCGAGAAAAAATTGTTTCTCTACGTGAAAATAGCCTAAGTTATCGAGAAATAGGTAAAAAAGTAAATGTTTGCTTCTCTACTGTTCGGTATATTATAAAACGTCATAAAGAAAGAGGATCTACATCAAATAACTTGCGCTCTGGACGCCCAAAGAAACTTTCATTGCGAATAAAGCGAAAAATCACAAGAGAAGCATCGAAAAATCCATTTGTTAGTGCAATTACTTTAGCCAATGATGTCGCTTCAACATCTGGAGTTCAAATCTGTGCCCAAAGTGTTCGAAATGTCCTGCACGATGCACACATTTAGGGGAGATCTCCAAGAAAAAACCTCTCATAACTGAACGAAGTAGACTGAAGAGACTTGAATTCGCTAAGGAATATATCAAAATGCCAATTGATTTCTGGAAAAATGTCATATTCTCCGACGAGAGTAAGTTCAATATCTTTAAATCAGATGGCAGGAAATTAGTTTGGAGAAAACCTTGTACTGCTTTTCATACCAAAAATGTGTTACCTACAGTTAAACATGGAAGAAGTTCTGTTATGATTTGGGGGTGCATGGCTAGCAAAGGAGTTGGTAATTTGTGTTTCATTGATGGGAATATGACAGGTCGAACCTATATTGATGTGTTGCGAGATAACTTGCCACAAAGTGCAATAAAATTGGGTATCGGTAATTCATACTATTTTCAGCAAGACAATACGATCCCAAGCACACACTGCCGGTATAACACGTATGTGGTTGCTTTATAATGTAACCCAGAAAACTTGCCACTCCACCACAATCACCAGACTTAAATCCTTTGGGAAATTTGTGGAATTCTTTGGATTTAAAAATAAGAAAAAGGAAGATTTCAAGCAAATCTGCCCTTAAACAAGCCCTTATTAAAAAATGGTCGAATACTGACCCTACTGTTACAGAAAATTTAATTAAATCAATGCCAACAAGATTACAAGCAGTAATAGATGCTAAATATTAGTTATTTGAAATTTGCTTATATTCCTTTTGTATTCATGCAGGTGTGCAAATACTTTTTTGATACGAGATATTTTATTTTTGTTACAAAAAAGCATTGTTATTTATATTATTGTAATTTTTCTGTTTGTTTTGGATGATTAAACTTATTCTGATTTGGCAATACAATTTTTTTTATTTCTCAATGCTTCTTTTTATGAATTGCAAACAAAAATGTAGGTGTGCAAATACTTTTTTTACCCACAATACACTTTATGATTTCTTTCTGTGGGGCTGCGCGCTTACGTAGGTGACCTCCAGACATGCTTCAGAATGGATAGCGTGAAATGTACTACCACATAAATGTTGTACGTGTTACCAAGAGGAGTTACATTTATAAAGTATGGAAACAAAATTTTGAACTTCCTTGTGTATTCTGTGCAATCTTATGGATAAATTCTTTTCAATTAAATATTTATAGCCGTTCGCAATCGTTGTATTAATTTTTAAGTACCCTGTATACTACTAAAACACTACGGCGTACTTAGTTAAACATTAGTTATCTTACCTCCTCTCCTAGAAGGAAGCGATGGTCATGCAAAAACGCTTGGGACGTTGGACATTCTCAGTATGAACCCATCTATGGACTCTGGATTCCCCAGCACATGCTGCTATCGCAAAATTAAGACTTCTGGCTGACCACAATTTTATGCGTATTCACCTTCATCTATTTGGAGATATCCCTGACAGCGTTATACACTCTTCTACACAGCTTTGGGGGCAACTAATCACTTCGACGAACGTTCTACAACTAATGTATTTCAGTTGTGTCGACCAAAAATATGGGAAAGCAAAAGTATAATGACGTGGTGTTGAATAGACAGGCAATTCTACAATAAAATATAAAGGATAATGTTCTTACCAGTTGTGTGATAGTAGCTGAAACAATTCCACCAGCCTGGTCATATGCTGCTGGAAAATTGAGGATTCCGATACCAAGAGCTGCATTGATGAGCAAGAAAGCTGCAGTTACCCAACTGACGCCTGGAAATAAAAGAAGTCATAACAAGCTTAATATACATTTTAAATATTGCAGTCAACGAGTGAAATTCTTTAAGTTTTCTGTTATCATACTTTAAAAAATTATGCAGTATAATCAATGGGTATCACAAGTGATTCAAAATTCTTTGAACATTATTGTACTCTGCGTTCGAGACAATTTAACTCGTTGAGCTCGGCACCGGCAGTGAATTTTCTGTGTGGCCGGCGTCGGTCCCTGGGGACCGGCACTGGAAGTTTCGTTTCTGGCGTTGGTCCGCAGGACCGACGGTATTAACATTCGCGACCATGAGCTTTGTCACGCACAGACAGGGCTTGTATGTCGGTAGCTGACAAAGATCACCAACATATAAGCTCTACTTAATACATGATAGTGATACGCAAGTGATTCAAAATTCTTTGAACATTATTGTACTCTGCGTTCGAGACAATTTAACACGTTGAGCACAGCGCCGATCCCTGCGAAGCGGCAGTGAACTTTCCGTGTGGCCGGCGTCGGTCCCTCTGGAATTTTCGTCTGGCCAACATCAGTCCCTCGGGACCACTAGAATTTTCGTTTCTGGTGTTGGTCCGCGGGACCGACAGTATTAATATTCGCGACCACGAGCTTTGTCACGCACAAGCACAGCTTGTATGTCGGTAGCCGACAAAGCTCATCAACAGATAAGCTCTACCTAGTGCATGAAGTTGCGGATCACCCTGCAGCATAGCACCGCTTGATCGCTCGTTGCCGGCTGAACGGAAAGGACAGCAAATCCGGCGCTGCGCTCAACGTGTTAAATTGCAATTTTTACATTACATTTGGTTATTCTCTTGTTCTGAATTTGACATTAATGTTATGTTTTATGCTTTACGACGCTTTAAGTTACCAAGCAATAAGATTCGTCCCATTACCCACACCTTCACTCGCTTACTCAGAGAAGAAGAAAAGTACATTTACAACTTCAGCAGCCCGGACGGCATGGAGCACTACACGAATCATCTGATAGAAAGCTTACACGAAGCATGCAAAAATCACCTTCCTATCCGTGTGGCCAAGAAAATACAGGGTGTCAGCTGGTGGACCAAAGAGCTGAGGCAGCAAAGGCAAAAATGCAGAGCCCTTCGACGACGTCTCCGCGCCACTATTAACGAAGAAGAAAAGACACACCTACTCATGATATACCGTAAAGAGCGTGCAGCATACAAAAAGAACATCATCACGGCTAAAGTCACCAGCTGGTGCACCTTCTGTACCAACAACAACAATCCTTACGGGATCCTACACAAAATCTCGTCGAATAAGATTTTTAACCCGGCCCAGATCCACGCACAACCCACCATGGATTCTACCACCAACATCGTGCAGAGCACAGCTTCCACCATTCTGGACACCGTCTTCTCAAACGATGACCCAGAAGAGGACACGATAGAACAACGAAAGGTTCGCAATAACACCACCATTCCTGCGACACCTCCCGATGTACCCTTTAGCGATAAAGAAATCAAACAGCTGTTCCGTCACCTTCCTCGGAAAAAAAAGCGCCAGGATTGTTCGTGCCTGACGGCTTAGATTATTCAATCATCCATACAGCTTATAAAGCGCGCCCCTCCTTCTTTAAGACCTACTTCAATCAAGCTTCTTCACCAACAAATCTTTCCAGCAGCCTTCAAAAGAGGACATGTCGTTCTCTTTCTTAAAAAGAATAAGAACCCACAAGACCCAAGTTCTTACCGGCCCATCTGCCTCCTCTCTGCTTTAGGCAAGATTTATGAAAAACTTCCTCGTTAACAGGCTCAAGCACCACCTGCACAGAATTAACCATCTCAGCCCCCGGCAGTATGGATTCCGCACAGGATTTTCCACGACACATGCCCTTTACAATATTCAGGATACAATACTACGCAATAAAAACAGCGACATGCACACAGCCTTCATTTCTATAGACCTAAAGAGTGCATTCGACACCCTCTGGTGGCCAGCAATTAAGCAGGCCCTCAGAGGAGCACACTGCCCCTCCAACCTATTCAACATCTTCAACAGCTACCTCCACGACCGCCATATTCAGCAGTTGTAAATAACGACGGTACGACATCCAAGGTACAAGAAAAAGGTTGTCCGCAGGGGTCCTGTGCGGGACCGACACTCTGGAACCTCACCTTCAATTCAGTCCTTGAAACCAACTGGCCACAGCATACAAACATCACTGCTTATGCAGACGACGTAGCCCTGCTCGTAAGAGGACGCACCAGGAAAGAACTGGAACGCAACAGCACAGAGACCTGCACCTTATTTACCACCGCATGCAACAAATTAAAGCTCACGATCTCCATAGAAAAATCGTCAGCAATAATAATTCCCAGACGAGGTACCAATCCAACTCGTCGTCCATGCATAAAACTCCTAGGCCGAAACATCAAAATTGCGCGGAATCTCAAGTATTTAGGGGTAGTATGGGACCAAGGTCTCACTTGGATTCCGCATATCATGGAAACCAGAAACAAGACGTCAATTATCGCCCGCATAGCAAGACAATTTCAAGGTCGCAACTGGGGCCAAAACCCCCCACATCCAAAAAGTGCTATACCTCACAGTTGTAGAAAAAATAGCTTTATACGCTGCAGTGATCTGGGCGCAGCCAATGGGTAACTTACAACTTACAACGCTACAACGCCCCTTCGCCCTGCAATTAAGCAAAGCCTACCGCACAACCGCCACCAGTGCAGCAACAGTTCCAGCCGGCATATTACCACTCCATATAAAAGCAGAGATGGAGGTAACTTTTACTAAATTGATCCACCTACGCAAAGATGCAACTTTCGCAAATACCAGCTACAGTCCAGTCAGTTTCGAACGTCCCTCCACTTCTATTCATAGCCATCCAGCTCTTACAGGAAGTGGAATCCACATCTCTATTGACAAGCAACAGACTCACACCTCGACACACGCACCACGGAATGGGGAACCAGATCTACACAGACGGTTCAAAGCAGGAGAATGGTGTAGGCAGTGCTTTTGTGCACTATGAGAATGGCAAAATTGTACACGACTGGCAAGGACAACTTCGCACTCACAATAGCATCTTCCAGGCGGAAGTACTGGGAATTACGGCAGCAGTGCAACATCTCATAGATTGCCAGATCCCACGAGCAAATATCTACACTGATAGCCTTTCAACTTTACTTGCACTTGAGAACCATCATCATGTCTCACCTCTCATACTCAGTCTCCAACATCTCCTTATGCAACACCCTCATTACCATTTCAATCTAGTCTGGGTTAAAGCCCATGCGAATAATGAGGGCAACGAGGCTGCTGACACGTTGGCCAAAGATGCAATTTCCAACCCGACAGCCCAACCCATCACCGTACCTGCGCCCTGCTCTTATCTAAAGGGCCTCCTACGAGAGCAAGGAATGCACCAATGGCAACGTGAGTGGACCGAATGCGAGACAGGCAGACGGACTTTCACCTACCTCCCGAAAGTTTCCGCCGATCGACTCTTTGCCGTAGCACCTCTCACCTACTTCACCACGGGTCACGGCCCGTTTCCCAGCTATTACAATCGCCACGGCATCTCAAATACAGATATCTGTGTCTGTGGATCAGAAAGGTCACCAGACCATTACGTATTTGAATGTCCTTTGACGGCTGCACACCATCTTCCGCTACCTACAAATAATAGGAACGCCTATCACCGGTTCCTTATAACGCATAAAGGAGCAGTTAATTCAATCTCCAGCATCATGAATACCATCGCGGCATTGGGCACAGACCTTTGCCTACCGTGCTAAAATGACGCTATGGTGTACTGACGATAAGCTCTAAGACTAGTCCAGTGAATTTTACAATATCTGGGCTTCACCACAACTGTGTGTTTAAGCTCCCCTGCCCACAATCTAAAGTGGCAATACTATGTTTTATGCCTCCATAATGATACGTGTGTAATCCCTTCAACAGCATGTGAACAACATCTTCTTACGCAGTGTTAGTGAACGTTTGTGTGCCTCACGGTGCACACATTGCTGGGGCACTGCCCAATAATTAGTGCTACAACATCCTCGTGCCTTTTATCAGTGTTTTTATCTATGTTCTTAGCGATGCTACAATAATCAACGCCTTAGCAATCTAACCGCACTCTTCTTCTGCACACATGAGTATTCATGAACTCATCATTCATCATTCAAGATGTACTTGTATTTATATCCAAAAGAACTGCCTTACACTAACATTGTGCTCCAGCTTTCATGTGACTTCATGTACTCCATTTTATCTTTTTGTGCCTTAAGTGACTATGTGTATGTACCTGTTTTTTTGTGCTCTCTGTTTATGCATTTTACGCATTGTGCTTTGTGTATTGTTGCCTATGCATTTTTATGTTTTTTTTTTTTTTTTTAAATGCGTCTTATTATCCAAGTATTTTTAGTTTAACTACCTACTATCTGTAACACCACAGCTTTCCTCTTCAAACTGTAATACAATCCTACTAATGCCCTTGTAAGGCCATGTACTTCCCTTTGACAACCTCAATAATCTCCTGGTGCAGCCTCGTGTGGTTCCAGGAAGCTTTTGCCGTAGTTAGAGGAGGGTTTGGAACACATGCCTGTTTACCTCTGTTAGACACCAGGCGTTCCAGTCCTCCGTAACCTACCTACCTATATAAACTTTGGTTTCTCTATTTGCAACATTCAGCCTCTTTGTCTTGCTGTACTTTGCATTTTTATTCATATATTCACCTCACAGTCTTTCCCCCACATATAGAGATACGTTATTTTATTACTTATTTTCTAGCGCATTGGATGATGCGTGTGTATAGTGGAACGGCACACATAAGCTAATAAACCTTGCCAACTGCAGCCATACTGCAGTTCGGATTAGCAGTCAATCTTCGCTACCTTACGAAAGTGTCTCATAGAATTCTATAAAATACTGAATCTTAAATTTCTTTAGAATCCTTTAAGAATTAGGAACTAATGTTCTGCAGACTAGGTCAGAAATCTTCTGTAGAATTCTATAAAATTACAGATGCAGCTTCTGTAGAGAAAGTATAGAGATTCTACAGGGATATACGTAGCTATTTTAAAGAGATTCTATAATAATTTTTTGATTTCTAAAGATTCAACGTATACAAGCTTACATAATGCATGAAGAATTAACTATTAGAATTCTACCGAAAATATCAGATCGAGTTTATAGAACACTAATGATAGTTCTAAAAAGTTCTAAATAAATTTCTTCGCTTTAATTTTCTAAAAATATTAAAATGTTTTATTAGAAAAAAATCACATTTTTTTCTAATAAAACATTTTAATATCGTTTTCATTTCCAAAAATATTTAAATAAAAATACATATTTTTTAAATAATACTTTATTTAAAATTAATAAACTATTTCTCTTATCAGTTATGCGTATACAATAATATATTTTTTGGAATTTCAGGAATTAAAATTTTTTAATTAACAGAATAAATTTAATCTTTCAATTAGTTTTATGATTAAATTGATTTTATACTTTTACAAAATTTAATTTTTGCATTATATAAAAAATATAAAATCGAAAAATTACACCGTGCATTAGTCTTCCTGGCAAAAATATTAAAATAGTTCGAAACACGAGATACCTTGGGGTTATAATTGACGACACACTTACTTAAATCCCACATTTAAAGGAGATCAAGGCTTCGCAGATTATTTCATTCCATGCTTCGGATAGTAGTACCAACGCGGAGAGGTTCTTCGAGAATACTTATGGCTTGATACACAAGAGTTGCAGAGCGTACTGTACTTTACAGGGCCTCCATGTGGGCCATAACTATCAGTACTAAACGGGAGAATCTGCTACGCTCAGCACAAAGAACTTTCCTCTAAGCATTTGCCGAGAGTACAAAACATCGCTTATTAATACACGCTTATTAATTATATTTTTGTAGCGTAGTTTACGTGAGATGAGATCGCTTGGGGTCACCCGGCGAATCGGGATGTTGAATCATGATAGCATAGTAAATTCTTAAATTAATGTCTTTTTACAAATTTATTGTCGTTATTTATTGGCTTTTTATAAAATTTTAAACCATATTAAAATGTTTATACATTCAAAATAAAAAATTCTTAAAACTAACATCTGTTAACAATTTTATGTGTATACTGTATATTGTCGCCAACAAAGTCTGCTTGGCGAGATTAGCGCCAGCGAAACGGAAAAGTACCCTATTTTTATTTGCTTTTTTTTTTTTTTTCCTCATAAGTTTGTAATTTTTTTATTTAATATGTATGAATATATATATGAAATAAAAACAGACTCAGAAGTATCGATGTTGCATCAGAAGTATCGATGTTGCACAGATACGTACGATGTTGAATCCTTTGGAGATAAGAAACAGATAATATTTACTAAAATGGCGCCAAGATAACTGATAAATACCGTTTTATTTTCAGCGTGTAAACAGGCATGTGAATAGGTAAATATTTGAATTTGTTACTTAAAACAACTACAAGAAATACTTACCATCTTCATGTTCTGGAATAGGTGGGATGAGAGGTGTGGCCGTTCTACATACATCTGAGATTGTAACAGGATCATGAGGGGCAAGATTGGGAGGTAGAGGAGTGCGTGAAACACAGAGAGGCCTTTTGTTCAAACCACTTGCCAATTGATTTTGGAAAAATGATCTGTTACTGATAACTCTGCCTGTTAAAAGGGAACGACATATAATTTTAATTAAAAAATTTCCTGCATGCTATAACTACAAAATAAATAATGGGTTACAGAAATAAAGTGAATACCCCAGAAATTCCAGGATGCGTTTATTAAAGCAAAAACCTTGACAGGAAAGGCATTAAATGCAGTCATTTTAATACATATATGTCTACTAAAGAAAGCAATGCTAATTTAATAATTAAAACTAGCTTAATAAGCTTTTAAATTAGTAAAATTGCATTATTGTAAACCCTCGTGCAAACAAAGCACTTTTAAAACTAAAAAAACAGAATATGAAAGAATTAAACGGAGTAGAATTATGAGGAACATCGTGTAAAATTCCAATTTCTAGTGAGCTTCTTAACATATTTCGCATCAAACAGCAGTTAAACTTAGTTATACGCCTTGCGACATAGGTTTCACTAAACTAATATAATTGGAATGCTACAGTGAATGGTTCAAAGAAAACTGCTTAACCTAACTTTCCACGACAAAGTAATGTGAACAAAATGTTTCAATGAAATGCAAATGTAAAAAAAATTCAAAACAAAAAATTTTATACCACATTTTCAGTAATTTAACAGGTATGTGATTTTAAAATAAGCACTTGAAGGTTGCTACCATTCTCTTGACCTAATTCCAACAGGATCAATTGAATGTTACACAGATGGATCAAAATCCAACTTCACTGGAGCTGGAGCTATTATAAGAACCAAGGGATCTGAAGATTTCATTAGATTTCATCTATACCTTGGTAAATTAACAACTGTTTTTCCAAGCCGAGGTTCTGGCGATCAATATGGTCGCCAGGGAGCTCTTAGCTAAAAATACAGTTGATAAGTATATATATATTCTCTCTGACAGCCAATCAGCCATCCTTGCCTGGCTAATCGTGTCAAGTTACAAAACTGTGTTTTGAACTATACTCAAGATCTCAATTCTCTGGCTCAGGCCCATAATACCATTAGTTTAGTCTGGGTCCCAGGTCATTGTGATTTTGCTGGAAATGAAACTAGCTGATAAAGTAGCTAAAGATGCTTCGCAACTACCCATGTCTGGCCCAGAACCATTTTACCCAGTTTTCATATCAAACGGTTAAAAAAGAAGTAAGAAGCTGGATAAAGAACAAACATGATGATATATGGTCTAAACTACCAGACTGTGCTCATTCTAAATTGGTGCTCAGTACTTAACTTTCAGGTAAACTCATACACCTCAGTAGAACTAACTTACGCCAGGTAATTCAAATTGTTATAGACATGCTTATCTAGCTAAGCATTTCCACAAATGTGGTCTTGTCGAATCTCTCTCTGCCAGCTTGTGGAGAAGAAGAGGAAACACCTTTCACTTTCTGGGACGATGTCCGGTGTTCTCTGTCCCTAGAAACAAATTCCTTGGGTTTCCCTATATTAGCTTTGATCAAGCCCTTCTACACAAAGGCCTCTCTGGCCATAATAGGGTTTCTGATGTATACTAAACACTTACAGGTATGGTGAATTATGAAACCACAAGAAACAAGCACTGAGACGCCCTGCGAGTTTTTTTTTTTTTTTTTTTTTTTTTTGAAAAGAAACTATGCAGGGAATTTCCCTCTCATAGCTGTGTTTTGGAATATAATTGGGAAATAGATATCAAATCTTTATACACCACCTGGCCATTTGGCGTGAGAAATGCACCTCTGCCCTCCCCCCCCTTTTATTTATTTTTTATTTGACTCGCCATTGCACCCTTGTTTGGTCAAGAATTTGCGTCTGATGGTTGGGAGGGATTAAATCAGTCTCTTCATCCAATAGGGAAGTTTTCACGATTTAACCGACACCGTGAATTTAGAGATGGGATCTTTTGCTGATACTGTATATTTGGTGTCAGTTTGAGATCTTATCATTTATTACTTACCTTTTACGGGAGTTACCATTTAAATCCCTTGATTTAAATGATCAAATGGCGGAAGAGTAATGGGCAATTTTGCCTAAACTCCTTTCCTTCTTTTCATAAGAAGGAAGCGCCCCTATTGTTATGTTGTTATGTTATGCTACCATTCTCCCAATTTCGATCGTAGCTCGTATCGTCATTCCCACAGAGCATTTATTTCCTCCACGTTCTTTGAGGCTATAGTTCAAGTCAGGCTACATTTACGCGCTTTTCATGAACACGTTAAACTGTAATGAAGTGGGGGGGATTAAGCGATTCGACCTTTTTTTCGCAGCTATTCCAATCACGCGACAGATAATAACGTTAAACTTTTCGCACTCTAAAATAACAGATTTTAGCATCAGCCGAACATGTGTGGTGTGGAGTTTCAGCAGTAGTGTCATTAAAATCTGGAACACAACTATTAAACCTTCACTTTACGCCAAAGATGGAGCTTTACTTAGAGATGGTGCTTACCAGCCTGTTTAAGCGCTCCTTCAGTCACTGTTAATAGTGGTAAATACTGGAAAGGTAAGGCTGTAACTCTAGTCAAATCGTCAATATTCCTTGCAAGACCTTTATTGTTGCAGTGGCACATCAACTTAGGTAAATAGTTTAAGACAAGACAGCTCGAAGGTTGCCATGGGAAGGAATGCCTTCGCGGAGGATTTAAAGGAAACTGGTAAGTATCTACATCACACATGAGAAAACCCAGGAAACTCCCATGCAGCCAATCCATTTGTAAGGTTTTAGACCCGTATCGAACTGTCAGTGTTCAGCGATTTCACCGCTTGGCCGCCACTGGCGGACATAGTTGCACACCAGCATATTCCAGGCAAAAGTATTCTGTAATCGCATTAGACTCGATTGTTTGAATTAGATAAAGCACTTGAGGGCAACCTGCCTAAGAGGAAGGATGCTTTTATGAAGGACGTTTTAAGGGAAACTGGCTTCTATTCATGTTAGACATATGCACGCAACGAGTGATGGTGTAGCACCGGGGTGCCTGGGTCATAGACCCTGCCCCCAATCGAAAATATGCTAATTCGAACACAACGCAAAATATAAATATGCCCAGGATATCTAATCTTTTATATATGAATAAATTATGGGCTTAAGGGAAGTTAGGATGAATATTAAAAACAAATTAAAGCGTACAAGATTCCGTGAAGAAAATACCGTCCAGAAAAGCTGCAAAGACTTTCAAGCCGGTGGGAACAAAAATATTATAACATATAAATTACCATGAAAAAATTTGGTAAATGCAAGACCATATTAAAAGAAAATGTGATTACAGTCATAGAATAATTTAAGTAAACAATACAAGTTAAGAGTAACAGTAATATACAAAACTATACAATAAAAAATCATGCCATACAGAAGGTAACCAAGGTGCAGTTCAACTTAATCAAGAGTGTCACTAAGAACGTCCATAGGCCTTTTGATGTTACATTGATCATTTACGTCATAATCATAAATTTTAATTGCAGGGTTATTAATGGACTGTAGGTCTTTATGGAATTTCTTAGCAAGGCGATAGCAAAAGGTTCTAATACGGTCAACTTTCAGTTCAATATGCAGTCTGCGATTTCGAACGTACCGTGGGGCATTAGTAATTTGTCTCAAAACCCCGTTCTGTGCAGTTTGCAGGTTTTTCCTTAAGGATCTACTAGAATAAGCCCAAACGGGCCAAGTATAACACAATATTGGACGTTGAAGGACTTGTAAATGAGTAACGTGTTGTCTACAGAAAGAATGCTGTTTCGAGCTATTAAGGGTAAAAGTTTAAGTTTTCGAGCTATTAAGGGTAAAAGTTTGTTTACGTACTCGAAACTTTCTGATAATAGAATGTAATGTGTGGGGCCTACGAGAGAGTTTTACCGAGGATCACCCCAAGATAAAGGACTTGGGTTAGACATATGGGAAACATCGAAAACGCCTACGTAACCAGCCCGTTCACTAGAATTTGAATCTGAGTCGAACTACCAGTGGTTCAGGGGCGCTTAGCCGCCGATTTAATGTGAAGGTACATTCATACATTGTAATGTATATACAGAGTTTTTCATTAAGTAGTATATAAAAAAGGAAAATAAAGAAACATTCAGTCTCATAATTGTTTAATCCGTATTGACACTAACGGGCGAACTTAAGTAGCTTCGGGAAATGACTTCTGTGCTCGTATTGCAGAAGTCCAGCAAAATTTCGAGTAAATCAAAGTTCTGAATTTGAATTTAGAATTGAATTATATTGTAGGGCCACCCAGATGGTATAGTGTTTAGGGGAGCCTGACTGCGATACCAAAGGGCCCGGGTTCGAATCCCGGAGAAGGCATGCGACGGAGGACGTGGGCACCACCCCTCTACCAATACGATTAATCGGTATAGCGCCACGTCCACCTTTATCTAGATAACCATACGTGTTCATTGTGCTAATATACTAATACATAAACATACATACAAATTTGGTACTTAATACAGTGGCGTTAAAGCTAATTAATGTTAGACACTGGATAATACATTGCCATGTTACAAGGTGTATGCAAAAGCATGGATACGGTAGCATATATACATACGTGTGTACTCATATGTTGAGTACACTATGATCCTTTGAAGCATTATCATTAGATTACAGAAGACATGTACATACTGAAATATTAGGTGGGCAATGTTATGCTGGAAAAAGTAATTAGTACAGTGAATTAAAAGTTAGACTCTAGATTAGTACTGTGTGGTACAGTGTCTTGCTACTGAATTATTTGTACTGTTTCCTAAGTACATTAACCAATGTACAAAGATATTAAGGGGTATCAGAAGCCCCTATACCGACAATGTTAAATTGGACATTTTCAATGTACCTTTTCTCAACATCTGCTGTAGATACAAGTTGAAATTTTTTTCTGTAATTAAGTATACCTATCTGATTATACTGAATGAGCTTTTGAAACATTTGAATTTTAGAGTAAATACAGATATTTTGTTAGGCATAGTAATTTAGCACTTTTCTCACACAAAAAAAATTTAAAAAAATTTTTTCTAAGTTTATTACAAAAAGCTCATTTCAGTAAATATTAGGAAACCTAATAAATAAGCCATAAAAAGTTTAGATACTGCTGAGGAGTTGTTCCTGAGAAAAGATACATCGAGTATAAAAAAATCACGTTTGGAGAAAAACGCGTTTTTCGTCTGTCCCATCATAGGAGGTAACGATGGCTGCCTATTAGGTGCCTCCATAATAAAATGGTCACCGCTTCTGGCCTTAGTAGTGGCCAATGCCGTTATAGGTAAGTGCCCGCCATTCGTTGAAAAAAATATGTATATATATATATATATTGTAGAATATTTTGAGGTAAATTCTAATCAAAAGTAGTATAAAATTTACTTAAACACAATTACGTAACAGCCATAAAGAAATTTAAAAGTGCAAACAACCAAAATTCGCGCATTTCCATTTGCAAAATCCTACAAGATCATCTGAACCTCGCGCTGCGATCAAGTTATTGCCTTAACTACAATATCAAAACCTTGATGTGTTCCATTTTATCGTTCAGCTTTCATAAAGCCTCTTGTCCCTCTGCAAAACTGTGCTTTTTCAAAACGTTCTGCATTATAAATACATAGTATGTCTTCCCAAGCGAAATTGAGAAATCATTTTATAATATACTAAGTATTATAAAATATTTTCTAGAGTGAGTTATGTTGTCAGAAATGCTGTCAACTTTTAAAGGTAGTTTACATAAAAAGTTTTACTGAATTTATTATTGAAATATTGTTACCAATAAGTAGTATATATTTTCTCGATAGAAAAACGTTTCAAGCTAAATTACCTCATATTCACATTCTACATGGAAAAAACTACAAAATTCACACGCATCTCGCCGGGACTTCAACCTAGGTCGAACTACCAGTTTTCAGAGATCTTACAATCTCGTGCACTGGTGGGAAAATATGATTGGGATCTTTTTTATTATAGGGTATCATTCGTCAAATAATATTCCCTAGATAGAAAACGCCAATTTTCTATTTCTGGTGAGAAAATATACTTTCGACACCAGCTCATTTCTTGTGGTGTAAGTCTTTCTAAATCTAAAAAGTTAGTTACTTTAAGAAACAAAAAACGAAATAGAATAATACATTTTACTAACTTGGGGTAAGTTTCAGTTTTACTTTTATAGCTTTCTAAATGCAGTATTTCATTGAATGATTTGTTATCGGACAGTTAATTTTTCCCAAGATATTTTGTTTCGAAATTATTACGCCTTGTTTCTGCATTCTGCAATATTTTCAAAAGATTCAATTAAAATTATTCAGATGATTATTGTCCGTTTCCTAAGTATGAAATGGAGTGTAATAGATATTCAGAAATTCTTTCACAATCCTGTCTTTTTGTGGACCTCTCGAGTTACATGAAACGCATATTCGAGAAGCACGATTATTCGATTATTAAATCCTGATTGCACAAAATATCTCCACGTATGGAACGGCAGTAATAAGATTCACATTAACTGTATTTATAAAATCAGACCTTGCTTAGAGAATGTAGGACATTTTCTGGCAGCATAATTCACAAGTGCACATCAGTATTGCCACTGAGGGAGGGTTTCAAAAATGGACCAATGAACATCTATTGTTCTTGTGACGCTAAATCTTTGAAACTGTGCATGTTGTTGTTTACGTTTTATTTTGAATTTGTTTCGCAGTTATAAATGTACGGCGTTTAAATTCTATCATTTTATTAAAAAATCTCGTAGTGCTTTCGTTTTATAAGTTTATTTAATCGCTAACATTTCACTTTCGCGAAACTTATCATGCAGAAGATATTCGGATTAATGTTCGCTGCATATTATCGCTCTTTATAGCGAGAAAGTGACCGAAGCTACAAATAACCTCGAATATTATGCATTTACTGACACCTGTGGATTAAGAGGATTTAAGTGTATTAGTTTTTTATTGAGCTGAGAGTAACTGAAAGTGTTAAAATGAATTTAGTATTTTCTTAATGTTTGCATTCCTTTGATTTTGAAAGTGTAAGATTCTAAATATATATTGTGAATGATCTTATTAGACCTACTGTTAACATTAAAAGTCATATATTAATAAATTAAATATATTCGCTGTCAATTAGATAAATTCATTCTGTCTGAAAAGTATTTCTTGCGCATTTAAGAGTGAACAATTATTAAAGTGAAATTTAACACACTAAATGTGTAGGAATGAAAATCAGGAAAGTTTGAACAAAACTGTGCATTGGCCATTATTATTATAAAGCATCTTTCTCATAGAAACTGCAAATGCTAAGACTTCTACTATTTACATATATAATTAGGCTTATATTTTCTTTGACTTCACACTGAAAACGTTTACAAGAAATGCACGATGCTTTATTTCTCCCAGGAAATTGCGTGGCAAAACATTTTCAACTACCTTGCTTAAAGCGTAGCAAAGGTCATGTGAAATGACAAAATATTACTGGAAGCCCATTGACCCATTCTAGGAGACACTCCCTCATTGGCGATACAGATGTGCAATTGCGAAATATGCTTCCCGGCACATGTTCCAGAAAGGGAACATTGCACTGAAATGCGGTACTGACCCACGCAATCCAGAAAGTCTAATCACTTCAATTTTATCAATATCTAAGTTTATGTTGTCTCTCTGTAAACTACGTCATCTATCAAAAGTGGGTACAACAATATTCCTTTGCTTGAAACTAAGCAATGTTAAGCATTTTGTTAACGTGAAG